ACACACACACATATATATATATATATATACATTTATAAATTCAATATATATATTATTTCATGTCCATTTAGTTTGTTGAAGTATTAAAATAACTCAAATTAAATAAGACTAAAACTTAATAAAAGACCTATACAGACATAATAAATTCAAACATAATTTAACTAAAATTAAAATAAATAGCAAATACAAATAATACAAATCAAGCGACCGTAGTTTATCAGTAATCCTAAAAAATAACACTGCCAAACTTACATGCTAAAAAACAAGAACTTACTTCCACATAGTAAGAAATGGTTATAAAAACTGAAACAGAAGTGAAACAAGTAGTAGGAAAGAGGAGAAATAAAAAGCGATACTTATCCTTTGCCGGTGTGCTGCCCGGTGGAGTCGCACGGTAGAGTCGATGGTCTTTACATTCTTCGGTCTTCACACGAGGAGGCCGTCACGCGACAGCTGCCGCGGTAAATTAAGCTTTTTTATACCCGTCTAACAAAATACTAAATTAATTCAGCTGGACAAACTTTCCTTATTTTTTCACAACAAATGGCCAAGCAAGCGCAGACAGACGCTTTATTATCAGAGATTAGCAGACAGAATTATCCTGCTTACTTTTAAAGCTTTGCATGGTCTGGCTACTAACTATCTTCACAGACTGCTCCTTCCCTATTCTCCACCTCGTTCATTGCGGTCCTCTGATTCTCGCCTTCTTGCCGTCCCTCGGTATCGCCTCTCTTCCAAGGGGGGCAGATCATTTAGTGTTGTTGCCCCTAAATTATGGAACTCTCTTCCCAGATCGCTCTGTCTTGCCAATAACCTGTCTGAATTTAAATCGCTGCTCAAAACTCATTTGTTTTCACAATGTTACCTTTCTTAAGATGACTTCTGTTTATTCTGTTTTATGTTTTATCCATATATTACTCTCTGGATGTCTGATGTTCTCTTTACTTTACTTTCTGTATTATTGTTTGATTGTTTTTTTTATGTTATCCTCACATTTCTGATGTTTATTGTAAAGTATCCTTGAGCTCTGGAAAGGTGCTATATAAATAAAACTTATTATTATTATTATTATTGCGTGTGCTGCTGAGAGATGCATCAGATGCTGAATTTGAATGGACTGACTCTGGTGATTGCAGCTTAAAAGCATTGAAAGAACTACTTTCTAGAAGCCCAGTGTTCGCATTGTTTGACCCTTCTCTTCACATAATAGTATTGACGGATGCATTTGATTATGGACTGGGAGGTGTTTTGAAACAAATGCACCCAGACAAGGTTGAGAGAACTGCAGCATTCTCTTCTGGGAACCCATGCAGTGGCCGAAAGGAAATACTCTATGGTCGAGAAGGAAGCGTTGGCTTTTGTTTGGGCCGAAGAAAAGTGGTGGCTGTATTTATGGTTTCAACACTTTACACTCAGAACTGATCATCGTGCACTCACTACACTAATGGCAACCAAGGGCATTGGCCGGGCTGGTATGCATGTTGCCCGGTGGTCAGCACGCTTGCTTTGCTACACATATGACATAGTATACCGACCTGGAAGCTTTAATTGTGCTGCAGATTGTTTATCCAGGCTGACATTGTCAACAGAATCAGATGGTGCTCTGGAACCAGAAATGGTTGCTTTTGTAACTGGATTGCCGACTTTGTCTATGGAGGAGTTCCTTTCTGCTTCAGAATCCTGTCCAGAGTGAGCCATGCTGCGTTCACAAATCAGTCAGGGCTGGCTAAAAAAACGTCCGTGAGCTGGATCCTGTTCTAGTGCCTTTCTTTCGCATCTGTGATGAACTGTGTGTTGATGGTGTGCTGGTGATGAGAGGTGAACATCTTACGCAGTCAGCTAGTAAACTGGGCGCATGTGTAGGGTATCAGACCGATGCAGACAATTTAAGATTCGACCAGATTGGTGTTGAACAACCCAAAGAGCCGAATTCCACAAAGAGGCCCATCTATTCAATGCCGCAAGCCTCCGACCTTCTTGGCCACGAAGAAAAAGCTAGAAGCAGAAGGGGAGGTAGATGGAAGGATGTAGCCTTGCTACATGGGCACCCTAGGACAATCCCAGCTGTGAACCAACAGACAAATGTTTTCCACGTGTAATTGGCCAACACGCAGCAGTGTCAAACCTGTCCTCGGCCGAGGGGACTTCCAGTTATTGATTGAATTTTATACGGGATTTGAGCAGCTTACAGCATTAAAACAAAAGAACACTTATTGACAATTCCAAGGAGATTGTCAAATTTGGGGCAAGTAACCAAGATTAATTGTCAAAGACACAGTTAGTCATGACCATCACATGAGGAAAATCATTAGTAGAAACTGCGTTGGGTGGTTTCACCCCACCTAGAGGACAAGAACCAGACTGAGATTCCTTAGGAGGTCTTTTAACCTCTCTGGTCTTCACAGAACATGTCCTTATGTTCACAGAATGGCACATAAACTGTCGTTTACAGATGTCGATGCACCAAAATGAACTCAAAAGGACTTATAAACGAATATCAGTCCATTGCTTAACTCCATATCATGTATGTAACCCACACATTTGACTATCATGTTCTAATCACTTATTGTGTATGTCTTTTCAATAACTATTGAATAACTTAAGGGTTCATATTCATGTTTAGTATGTGTGTGTTTGCATCTTGCTTGAAACGTTTCTTCCAATCAATTCTTTGTCAAATGTATCATATTCTTGTTATAGAAATCATGTCCAAAATTATACTCTGCAAGAGCAGGAAAATTCGGACCATGTGACTGATGAGATGACATGTTGATTTATGAATTGGGAGGAGAACTACAGCAACACCCATCTAAGACAGTGTCTAATTGGTCAAAACACCTGTTGGGATGTGGCCAACAACCCGGTTTAAATACTCAGGACACCATCAAATTATGTTTTTTAGTCATGCGTTTTAGTCATGCTTTTAGTCATCGCTTTTAGCCATGCAGCTTTTTAACTTTTAGCTTTTCGCTTCTAGCTTTTTAGTCATGCTTTTTTTTAGCTTTTGCTTTTTAGCACTCTTTGAGCGTGCTCTGGCTTACACGCCAGCAGCTCCTCCCAAAACCATGAGGAGAAACGCCACCTAGTCTCGTCAAACTTTACTTCTATTCCTCTACTTTAATTTATTTTATTTTCCATTGAGAGTTTCGTGTTCTGAGTTAAGCTTTGCCGCAACAACGTGTCTCCGAGGTGACTGCCTCAAAACTTCAACCAGCCCACAACTCCGCATCTTCAGCCAACGCCCAACCACTGGCTTCCCAAGACGTCACGTCAACAACTACTGAACTTCCAGCCAATCAGCAATATCAGGAACCCCCTTTCTTTAATGACGACAACAAAGGGAACCCCCCTACACATGCAACGCAAGTACCTCCAGATTCTAGCTGAACTGGTGCATTTAATATATATTTTAACCTCATTGAGGAACTCAATGCGACGGTTAATTAAGTGATTGATGGTTGTTCAGGTCTATGCAATTGCACATATTGCTGTAAACTTGGGATTTCACAATTTTCATTCTCTTAAACTCATTCTTTCCTCACTTTCTCTCCTTCTGCAACTGCGTGTGTTCATGTGTTAGATTAGTTTAGTCTTAGATTTATCTAATAAAGCCTTATTTATATTGAAAAGAGAAGTATCTTGTGTTTTGTGCTTACAAGTTAATGTCTTAAACTGCCAATCTTGTTACTGTGCTAATAAATAGGGTTTTCACTATATTTCGGATATTAATATACATTGGAGAATTTATGTTATACGGCTCGTTCACTGAATCACTGGCCGACTCAGTGATCAGCCGTAAAACAGTGATTCTGTCCAAATTCCCTATAAAATCATAAATGATTCCCTTTGAGCTAAATTGACCAATTTCCCTTACACATGAGACACACCAAGGAATTGTTCAAACTAAACGGAGGCTGCATGATTTTTGGAGTTTTGGTGGCCTCAGATGGATGCTCCCCTGCAAACATGTCCTTGCGGGGCCCATGCTGGCTTTTTGCGGGCACAGTTGGCTAGGGCCAGCCCACACCAAACCTAAACGGGCCCAGTGCGGGCTTGCCCAGGCGAGGCCCACAGCTTTGGGCTCACCGCAGGCTCTCTGTGAGGAGCCCACACTAGCGGACTGTCCACATTAATCCAATGATGGCCCAGTGTGGGCCAGCCCGTTTGGGCCCAGAGCAACTTTTGTATCCTTTGGGCCCATGCAGGTTTTGTAGGCAGCCCTGTAATGCAACTAGGAGAATACAAACAACATTTACTTGCCATTCTTTAACCACTCAATTGAACTGGAATGGCTTAAACCAAAAGAGACCATTTCAGAACCTGTTGTTTCATAAAGGCCAGGGATCCTCAAATCTGGTTCACGAGATCCACTTTCCTGCAGAATTTAGTTCTAACCTTAATCAAACACATCTAAGCATGTCTTCAGGATCATTAGAATATCACAGGTGGGTGAGTTCGATCAAAGTTGGAGCTAAACTCTGCAGGAAAGTGGATCTCATGAGCCATATTCGAGGTATAACATACATGAGCCTGTTACAGTTTTTCTCAAATGCTAAAACACAAAAGCCAATCCTCTAAACCAAATGACCAGTTGTCTAAACACATTTACTAAATCTAGCCATCATTTTCCAATATCATAAACACATTTCACATGAAGACACAATTCACAAAACACAATCCTCCGTTCTCATAAATCTTAACACATTTTTCTTTGCTAAAACACAAGTTGCAAAAGAACTCTGCTCATATTCTCAAATGAAAGCTCATGTGATGCAAAATGCTTGCCACAGTCAGCAATATTTGAACACAATGAACACACCTGGCGTCATTCATTACACACAACGACTCAAAATTGAAGACACTTGTTGCTAATGCTGTGACCACATGTATAAAAGCAAGTTCAGCATGCACAGTTTGCTGAAGATTCCAAACAAACACAATGGATGAAGGCAGAGTAAGGGGAAGAGGAATTCGAGTCAGAGGAGGGAGAAGAGCTGGCCATGGAAGAAGAGGAGCAGGCCAACGAGGAAGAGGAGTTCAAATCAGAGGAGGAAGAGGAGCAGGCCAACAAGGGAGAGGAGAAGGTCCAGGAGGGAGAGCAAGACAACCTCGCACCATCATTACAGACGAGATGCGAGCAACAGTCATTGACCATGTCATTGTCCATGGCATGACAATGGCTGAAGCAGGACTACGAGTCCGTCCAAACCGTTTAAAAGGACTCTTTATTGGTGAGGTTACCACATCATGGTCCAGTTTGAATATGGATTTAAAGTTCTTTTCGACATGAGACCATAGTCTGGACTTTTTTTGACTGCTCCTTGTTAGGAAGAGTTTGGTGTTTGTGAGCTGTGGCATGTTTCCATTAAAGAGGTTGGGTTATTCATTTGCTATCAGCCAACTTCAGTTACAGACAGTGTTTGGACATTGATGTACTACAGATAAGACTTTCGCACATCAATTTTCACATGACGAAATCCTACAGTCTTACAATGCTTTGTGTGCTTTCTTTTTTTTTACTTTTGTGTATTTACATTTTTGTCTCTTTTTTTTTTTGGTCTATTTTGTATTTAATAAATCCATTGATTTGAAATCCCTTTGACTACTGAACATTTTTGACAATATAGACATTAGTTATGTGGTGACCGCATCCATTTCAGATGTATAATAACTGTTTTTCTTAAAGACTTAATTTATAGTAGCTGAAAAGTATTTAAAGTTAAACCGATTAATTGTTGTAGATCAAGAGTGACCAGCCCTGTTCCTGGAGATTTACCTTCCTGCAGAGTTCAGCTCCAACCCTAATCAAACACACCTGAACCAACTAATTAGGATCTAACTTAGATTAATAATAACTGTTGTAGATTAATAGTGTTGGCCAAGTGAGGGCTTCCTGGGGACTAAATCAAATCAGGGGCTGCCCGTGCAGGGCCAGCACTAAAGCCTGTGTTATACTTTATTGGCGAGTGTGCGCGGACATCTGCGTGCTTACCATTTTTTGTGACCGTGCGGACAAGGCTACAAAAGCAGCAACTGTACATGCGCAGGCTGTGTGAAGAAGCCCATTGCTATAAAACAATATAAATACAGCCAGATGTGCAATAATTCTGGGCAATTGTTTGTTCACTTGTTGCAGAGCGGACCATCAGCGTATGCTTTCTGTAGTATAAATACAAATAGTTCGTGTCCGCGCTGTCTGTGTAAGCGTCTGGATTGCTCATGTGGAAAGTATAACACGGGCTTAAGGGGCCAACGTTTTGCCAATGAGCAAATCCTCAGGGGCCCTGCACTGGCAGCCCGCTGGGGGCCCTTAGGCTAGTCCTAAGTGGGCCCGTACAGGCTTGTTTGCAGGATCAAATGCAATCCGCAGTTTCTTTCTGCTTGACCTGCCAAATGAATGATAAATCAGCAAAAACTGCACCTGCTCCACTTCAGCCTGTCAGTCTGCCATCCGATCCATGGCAGAAACTAGGAACGATATAGTCGGACCGTTTGAGAGTGGACCTTCAGACTGCCATTTTGCCATTTCCTTAGTGGATTACCACAGTAAGTGGCCTGAGGTGGCATTTTCACCAAATGTTGCTGCAGAGGTGGTCACATCCTTCCTTCAATCAGTCTTCAGTAGGGAGGGCAATCCTCAATGTGTCGAAACTGATAACGGCGCTCAGTTTCTCTCAAGCATGTTTGCAGCTTTCTTAAAAGCAAGGGCAATAAGTCACATATGTAGAAGTGTGTACTACCCACAGTGCAACATTGGAACAGAGTTCTGAAGGAATGCATCCTTTCTGCAGAACAAATGGGGAAACCATGGAAACATGCATTGACTGAGTTCTTGCAAAATTAGAGCTACTCCACACAGTACTACAGGTGTTTCTCCTTCTGAACATTTACACCATCGAAAAATGTGTACAAAGCTGAACATTTTTCCTGTGGGCCCTAAGAGTGACAAATGCACTCAGGTTAAGGACACTGTGAGTAACAAGCAGCTTAAGAGTAAGACGTCCACAGACAAAAGACGTGGAGCCATATACCACACTTACAAACCAGGGGACCAGGTGAGAGTGAAAAGATCTGTTAATGTGAAAAAAGGAGCTTCCAAATTCTCTCCACCCCTGAACATTGAGCAACAAGTCGGGAGAAGTACTTTTGTGCTGAGTGACAAAAAGAAATGGAATGCATCCAAACTACCACATTTCACAGGTCCTATCGCTACTCAACATGAGGACTTGCGGTCACAAGTGAGATTTAATCCTAGGAGGAGTAGTAGAGTGTGTAGATCACCTGTGTGGTTAAAGGAATACAGAAAAGTTAACCGTTGAAACGTTACACATGCTTGGGGGAAAAAAGCATCTTGTTTTGGTGTTACACTGTAAGTTATGTGAACCGTTATAATTGCCTGACGTGCTTGAAACATGCATCAGAAGTAAGAATTTAATTTACAGAGTTAAATTTCCATTGTAGGGTTAATGTTAGTAATATTTAATGAATTTTTTTGCTATTTTGGTTACTTAAGTTCTTCAATGAGGTTGTAATTTTTTATAACCTTTAAACAAAAGAAAACAAAATCCTGTTCTAAATAACCTGTGATACGAAGAAACATTTTAAGTGAGAGGGGAAATGTGGTGTTTTGTAGTTTAACCACAAGGTGGCAGTATATTGTTTAAGTGTAGAGGTGCTACTTAGTATTCTCTAAGAAGAAGCCATATAGTCCTGCAAAATGTAGCATGTGTTGATTAAAGTACAGTTACTGAGTACTAAAGGACACAACAACGGTGGAACCCTACAGCTGAATCATGTCAAGGGTGATGGAGCTGCTGGTCCCATTTGGATCCCTGTAAGAGGCACTTCACAGCAGGAGGGGTTTAATTTCCACCAGGCTCAGCGGGAAACGGGAAACCGCGTCTCTCCTGAGTTGTTCCAGGCGCAGGGTATGACTGGTGTGGCACGCTGGAATTATCAGCGGCTGGTGGACCTGAAGCAGCCTGGGGTTGTCTTACCTGGAGAGTTTGACCCTGTTTTGATGATGGAGTTAAACAGGGCATCTATAAGAGTGACAGGGCAACCCAAATATCCAGCCTTGCACATCTCCAGCAGGGACACAGGAGAGAGGTTTGGCCTGCAATATGTGGAGCCAGGCTGTCGACCTGTGCCTCTTGACTTTGACAAACACAAAAGCAGGAAGACAGACCTAGGAGATGTGGAGATGCAAGAAAAGTCTTCATCTGGCGTTCCGTTCTCATTTCCATCTCAGGTAAGCCTTTAAACTTTTTTGGTTAACAGGCTTTTGATAAAAAAAAATGCTTTTATAATTCTCACTCGCATATTACACAAATTTTGCTAAATTTCAGGAATGCTTAAAGGATACCTCTTCTGCTAAGACCCCTCTTGCTGCAGAACTAGAGGCCACCCCACAGACTGTCATTTTTCACCAGTTTTCCACTCCAAGTGCTGTGACAAGTGAAGGAACAAACAACTGGGCAATGTCCAATGAGAAATGCCATTGATGGTTTGCTGGCCAAGCACCACGGGAGCAAGGATCTCCTTACAAAGGTGGATGCTGAATATGCTGCTATGGTACAGAGTGCCTGCACTGACCCCAACAGCCTTCTGCACTCAACCACAAAGCAGCACATAAGCAGGTACATAAAACACCTTGCTAAAAAAAAGAACACTAATGCTTCTCTCAACACCAGCCCAGAAAAGCTCTTGGAGACACAGCAATTTATGGCAGCGTCTTCACACAGGCAGTGAAACAATCAGTGTCCCAGTGACAGCACTGCCACCTGCCCCAGTCAATCCACCTGCAAGGGCTGTCCCTCTGGACCAGGCAGCGCTCGAGAAGATGGTGAAGGACATCGTAGAGAAGCAGCAGGCAGTTCAGCAGCAACAACAACAGCAGGCGCCGCAAAAAAAGCGAACCAGATCCTGTTATCCTGTGGCCAGCCTAAGTCTCAATACATGGGTGATGGCTCCTCAATACATTTCTTTTATCAAGGTAGTGATGTTAAAGCTGCAGTCCGTAAATTCTTTTGGTTAAAAATGATCCAAAATCAATATTTGAGCAAGTACATAACCAGCCAGTGTTCAAAACTATCGCCTTCCTTTAGCCCGATTCACAAAGGTCAGTTTATAATATTTTCTAATTTGAGTGGTACGGGTAGGTTTTCGCAGGAAATTCGAGCATGGCGCTGCGTCATTACATCACGTCTGTAAACATAAAGAAGTTGTCCCGGCTACTAGGCTATCACATGGGAGGATCCTGCAGCTGGCAGATCGTTTATAGGCTTTTCTCACAGCAGCTGCAATAATTAAATGTATCATTTTGATGGCGGATTGTAATCCAGAAAGGATTATGTGTTTATGAAACACATGTGAATGAAATTAAATTACATTCCAGTTATAAATGTGCTTCTGATTACAGATAGCCTGGGATTACACAAGATTTGTATTTTAAAGAAAACCAGTTTGAAGGGAGCATATTTTGCTTTTTGTGTTAAAAGAATTTCTTAATATGAAATTCGAAGAGTATGACAATTAGATTAGACTGTGCAGAAATTGAAATCTACTCCCTAATACACACTATACTCATAGTAACCAATGCTGATGTTGTTAACATTAATCATTTGAGAATAAAGTATAACAATAATGATAATTTGCAATATCTGCATCTGTGCAGTTCTTTGTCATAAATCCAGTTTACAAAATATCATGGGGGAGCAATAATCGGTTCCCCATCTACTGTAGCCTAAGTTTTCACTGCGTTCACCCCTAATCACACCACAGCTGTTTCCTGTGTGTGTGTGGGTGTGTGTGAGAGATCATGAAGATTTGTATTTGGCTTATTCAGTTATACCTATCTATGCAATACAGTGGAATACTGCACATTTTGGTATATAAGTTCGTATACCACCCCTATTAGTCAATTTTTTAGAAGCCTGTATTAGACAAGAATGGGACAACATTCCTATTCCTAAACTTGAGCAACTTGTCTCCTCAGTCCCCAGACGTTTGCAGACTGTTATAAAAAGAAGAGGGGATGCCACACAGTGGTAAACATGGCCTTGTCCCAGATGTGTTGATGCCATGAAATTTAAAATCAACTTATTTTTCCCTTAAAAGGATACATTTTCTCAGTTTAAACATTTGATATGTCATCTATGTTGTATTCTGAATAAAATATTTAAATTTGAAACTTCCACATCATTGCATTCTGTTTTTATTCACAATTTGTACAGTGTCCCAATTTTTTTGGAATCGGGTTTGTGTATATATATATATATAGAATCTCACATATTAGATGTGATTCACTACATGCATTTAATTGTAATTTTTATTTAAGCAAAGAATTACTCTAAATGCACCTGGCATATTTCTTTCTAATGTATGTGTAAATTGCTATGCACTTTTGTTTTTCTTTCAATAGTAGTTCATCACTGGAGAAAATGTATCTGAATATGCATGTCACCAAACATTCATCTTTTAATTATTCTTATATCTTTATATTGTGATTTATAAAATGCAGCTGCGCATGAAGAGGACCTTTATTTTGGTCTGGTGATGTGACGTCATAAGGCTGCGCCGCGCTTCTGCGTCTTTTCTAACTGGAAGAAAGGTTTATGTTTTAAGCTTTTAACGTGCTTAAATCAATGCAAATTATGAATAGCCAGTGATGAACAATAGAGACAATATGGCTGTTAGCAACCTAGAAAAGGCTGAACTTTTAGTTCAAACATTTCTGAAAGTTCATAGCTCTGATAATCTTTCAGTAGAGGCCAGACAGAGTAGGAATAAAACCTTAATGGAATACCCTAATATTTTGAAGGACAATGAGATGTCAGGAAATCCATTAGACCTACCATTAAACATGTTTGAGTTAAAGAGAGCGATAATTAGTGCTCGACAGACTACTCTGGGGAAAGATGGGGTATGTTATAAAATGTTGGCACACATGACAGATAACTCGTTAGAAATAATATTAAATCTGTTTAACCAAATTTGGGATACTGGACAACTTACTTTAGTATGGAAACAAGCAATAATAGTACCCGTTCTTAAACCAGGGAAAGACCCATCAGATCCTTCTAGCTACAGATCACAATTGCCTTGACTTCACATTTATGCAAAATCATGGAACGAATGATTACAGAAAGAATTACATTTACATTTACATTTTTCCTGGAAATTAAAACTCTTTTATCTCCATATCAGAGTAGTAATAGCAGCCGCCTTTGATGTGGAGAAGGCTTATGATATGCTCTGGAAAGAAGGATTACTGATCAAATTAAAATCATTAGGAATTAACGGTAGAACATATAATTGGGTTTTGGACTTTTTATTTAAGAGGAAAATACAAGTGAGGGTAGGTTATGAATACTCAAGAGTATACACGGCAGAGAATGGTACTCCACAAGGTAGCGTGTGTAGTCCGTTATTATTAAACATAATGATTAATGATATTTTCTCTCAGGTTGAACAAAACGTAGGTGATGCTAAAGCAAGAAATATAGGATTACATCAATTACAGTACAGTAATACAGTATCAATTTCCTCAATTCCTCCCTGGTTATTCCCCTTGCCAACTGTTGACCTTAGTATACAGCAGGAACTGAAAGACAATTCTAATCAACTCCCGATATGGTATATAGTCCAGAAGTATTTTGAGAAACATTTCCCACAGTCAATGGTTTTATTTACAGATGGATCCAAAGATCCTGATACAGAATATGTAGGTGCAGCAGTATATAGTTCAATGTGTGCATTTTATATTAACAACCATTTGTCAGTATATGCTACAGAGCTACTGGCAACAGTTTTGGCCCTACAGTGGATAGAAGAGAAGGAAATAAATAACACTGTCATTGCATCTGATAGTTTTTCAGCCCTTGAAAGTATAAAATCTGGCAGGTCATCAGTTAGGATGGATATTATTAACGAAATATTCTGCAAGATGTATGAAATGAATGTTAAGGGTATTTCTACACAATTCGTTTGGGTTTCTGCTCATGTTGGTGTGGAGGGAAATGAGAAGGTGGATATTCTGGCTAAACAAACTCTAAGAATAAAGCAAGTAGATCTACATATTCCATTAAGTAAAGCAGAAGCTAAAGTATGCATTAGAACATATACACAATCAGTTTGGCAGATATATTGGGATGACCATGGAACGGGTAGACATTTGTATAATGTACAAAAACAGTTGATGCTGGGAGAAAGGAGAGTAGGAATCGAAGGGAAGGAAATATCATTACATGCCTTAGAATTGGACATACTGGACTTAATAGTACATTATTTAGAATTGGTAAGCACCCAACTGGGGAATGTATACACTGTAATCAACAAGAAACAGTTGAACATGTACTACTTCAATGTGTAATATACAACAATGAGAGATATCGCCTTATTCAGTCAATGAAGAAAGTTAAGCACCATGACTTTTCCTTGTCAGGTTTATTGGGGAAATCAGCTAACAAGATATATGATGATATTATTAGGTTTATAAAAGAATGTGAATTAAGTAAGAGAATATAGAATATAGATAATATATGTGTGTATGTATGTATGTGTGTATATATGTGCATGTGTATGTCTATATATATATATATATATATATATGTGTGTGTGTGTGTGTGTATGTATATGTGTGTATGTGTATGTGTGTGTGTATATGTATATGTGTGTATGTGTATGTATGTGTGTGTATATGTATATGTGTGTGTGTATATATATATATATATATATATAT